AAGACCATCAATGAGATGGTGTTTTCGTTCTCTCAGTGCTGCTCTAACAGAAAATACCACAAATGGGTGGTTTGAACAAACAGGGATTTATTCTGTGACAGTTTTGGAGGCTCGAAGTTCAAGTTCAAAGTGCCAAGCTCTAGGGGCTGGATAAAAGCCCCTCGACCTTGTGCTTCAGCTCTGCTTCTTGCTTCCAGCCCACTGGAGCTAGCATTATCTCTTCACTCAGGCAGCTGCTGGCCACTGAGGCTAACAAGCCCGAGGTTGATGAGTAAAATGGCACAGTCCCAAGATGACCAAACAGCACAGCAAGCCACTAATTCAAGTCCAGAAACTGTCCAAAGACTGGCAGGCAATTGTGGCAGGCTGCTGAACAATGACTCAACTACATGCAGGATTCAAGCATGCCAAAAGCTGCTGGAAGCAGATCACATTCCTAAGGCAGGTACTCAGCAGCTCACAGTAGATTACACCATGGAGTAATTACTAGTCTCATCATGGGGAATACTACATTCAGCTGCCCAGCCACTCAAAGCCAGGCCCAGCCAAGTCGAAACACAACTACAGCAGATGGATTGACACAGTGGCTGCAACAGTGGGTTCAAACATAGCAGCTGTTGTGAGGATGGCGTAGGCCTCGGCAGTATTTCATTCTGTTGTGTGTAGGGTCGTTATGAGTTGAAACTGAGCTGACAGCACCTGACAACAACAATATATCACATTTTGTGTGTATAAAATGCTGTATGGAAAATGAATTTGCTCTGTAAACTTTCACCCAAATCACAATAAAAATTTAAAAAAAATATATATATTACATTTTGTTTATAATTCATTTGCTGATAGATACACTGAGTTATCTCCAAACCTTTTGCCTATTGTGATTAATTCTGCTATGAACTTTGGTGTACAATATTTATTTGAACCCCTGGTTTCAACTCTTATGGGTATGTATTCAGAAGTGGATTTACTGGGTCATTTGGTAATTAATTCTGTGTTTAAGTCTTTAAGAAACCACCAAACTATTTCCCACAGCAAGTACACCATTTTATATTCCCACCAGCAGTTTCCCCAGTGTTTTGAGCAGCTTTAATAACCTGCCAGCTAGACCAGCAACAATTCAGATGAGTGACTTCAGCAAACATCCTACTTGCAGGGGCCAAAAACACAGCAGCTGTGTAGTACAGAGCACACTTGGGTTCCTGTCTTAATCTTACGACTCCCTAGCTATATATAGGACTTTAGAAAAGTGTGTAGCCTGTTTAGCCATCCTAAACTCACTCTTTTCATGTGTTAAGTACCCAAGGCATAGGATGGACATGAGGACAGGACCAGATGTGAAGTGCTTATACAGCACCTAACCTATAGAAGGAACTGGTAAAAGAAAGCTGTTCTCATTAGTGTTCTCTTTCTCCCTAGGAAGAGCATTGTGATGTTTTAGGGGTTTTAAATCACTGAGAATATTGAGGTTTTCTCTGGAGCTTACTGCCATGCTGCAGTTGTTAACACACACACACTGTGGATCAGTGAACCCACCTCCTGTTTCACTTGTGATCTAATCAGCCAGCTTCCTGCTCTGCACTTGAGTTAAGGATAAGAGTACAGGGACACTGGGATTCTGGTGTGCACATAAAGGAAAGCATGGCAGCCTTGGTACTCAAGGCCTCTGGCAGAGTTGTCGTTGTTATTACGTGCCATTGACCCCTCTTTGGGTTTCCAAGGCTCAACCTTCCTTCAGGTCTGATAGAGTTAGGTGAATGTAATTCCTCTCATTTTCCCTTGAAATTTCCTGTTTACCAACAGAACACTATCTCTTTCATAAAAGGCCCACTCACTGCCTCACTCCCTCACCATCTCCTATAGTGTAGAGAGCTGGCCCAGCCCCTGGTATTCCATTCCTCAACATTCCACCTGGGAATTTCTCAGGGCCCTGAGCACTGTAGGGACCCCGGCTTGGGGAGCCTTTTGTTGTTTTGGGTTTGTTGTTGTTGTTGTTGTTTTTCATTTGTTATTGTTGTGGAGCCTTGGACTAATCGTGGCTGTCCTTCACACTCAGTGCTACTTGTAGGCTTCCCCTCAGCTTGCATGTCGATGTTGTTCAGGTATTTTGTGAAAAATAAGCAATGACCACTCTGAGATTAATGGTTTTAAAATATTTCTTTTTTTTCCCCTAGATTTCTCTTTCCTAAGTGTCTTGACCAGTGTTCAAAAGGTAAGCAATTTGCTGTACTTTCTGCTGCCTGCCTTTCAAATTCTATTTAGATGCAACAGACTTTTTTTCATGTTCCTACCTACGATTCTGAAATCTAGAACAAACAAGATTGGTTCCAGGAAGACTTTGACATATTTTACTTCTGTCATGTTCGAGAGGCAGCTTTCTTCTAAGAGTTTGTCCCTTAATGGCAATAAATTGCCACGGTAATGCCTCTGGTGAATGGGCTAAGTACTGTCCTGACCTTCCAGCTAATACCATGTACTGAGTAGGTTTTCCCAGCCTCTGGATAAGCAAGATCTTCATGTACTTCTCTGGTCCCAAGAGCATAGAGTATGCCTAACAGATCCTATCTCACTTAATACCCCTCTGGTACACATTTGCAATTTTCCACACCTCCTTGATAAGATTCACAAAAATCGACCCATTCTGTAGGTTGCACTCAAACTTGCTTTGTCTTACCACCTGGCAGTCCTGAAAGTAGCACTTTTTAGTCACATTATCTATGGTACATGGAGATCCAGAATAAATTCTAAGTTCCCTACAGTGTGAAATACTCATTGTTGTCAGGAGATATGCCTGGGGTCTGAGCTTCCTGAACCAGCCCAGCAAGTAGAAATCAGAGGGTAGAAAACAACTCGGTGTCCCCAGCACAGTTTTGCCCTGCTGATCCCATTGCCAGTCCACAGGAAGTGGAGACAACAGAGCATTCCAGAGCTGTTGTCTTGGGAAACAGCTGAGCTGGGTGCTGCCTGGGACAGGAGACTGGGCCACTCAAGGGAGGAGTGTGTATGTTGGACTGCTACGTCAGGTAGCCTCAGGTCCAGCTTTTAGAGGTCCCTGTTGCTTTCTAGGCCCTGTGCCCTAAAAGAAGGATGAGCTGGGCCCATAAACAGTGCATTCGAGGTGCATTAGGCAGACTTTGTGGAGTTTGGTTCTAAAGGATAACAGACTTGATGTGGAGCCATGAGGGGAAAGGCAGTATCTAGGGTGAGTCCTAGGTTTCTAGCTTGGAAGATTGGAAAAGTTGGTAGTACCTATCCTGTAATAGAGAGCATAGTCGGGGAGAGAAAGGAGATGATGTGTTCTTGTTCTTTTTTTTTTTTTTTTTTTTTAATTGTGATTTGGATAAAAGTTTACAGAGCAAGTTCTTTTTCCATACAGCAGTTCACATACACTTTGTCTCAGGACATTGACTATAATCTCCCACAATGCAACAGCTCCCGTCCCACTTCCTCCCCATAGTTACCTCTTCCCTGTATCCTTCCCTCCCATGCACTCCTGCCCCCCGAGCTGTCTCCCTGTGTACACAGCCTTTCTATTCTCCCACGATTGATCTCTCCAAGGAGTGTATCTGCCTAATATAAATGTTCAGCTCAAATGCCTGTCTATTGTTTGGCTGGAAGCCACAGGAGTGGGTTCAATTCCAGATCTGAAGGGCAGCTGGGGCCATAGTCTCAGGGATTCCACCAGGTTCTGTCAGACCAGCAAACCTGGTCCCTTTTTTTTTCTTTTGGTGTGTGTGATTTTGAGTTTTATTCCACATTGTTCTTGCACTCTGTCCAGAATCTCACATAGAAGATGATGTATTCTTTATGGGACTGAGGAGGGCTGTATGGTCCTTAGATACATGTTTGAGAGTCATGGTCAAAGCCAAGACCATAACTGTAGTCAGCCAGTAGCCAAGTATAGAGTTGAAAAGGGGCAGAAAGCCAAAAATATGGGGGAAGAAAATCCAGGAAACTAAAGGAGGAGAAGCAGGAAAGAGCACTGCCTCAGACACTAAGGGAGGACAGTAGAGATTAGTGGTATTAACCTTTGCAGAGATCTCAAGGGAAAGACAGAAAAAGCGCATCAGCTTTGCCAGTGTGAAGGACACTGGTGACCTTAGCAGGAGAATCTAAATGGAGAGGTGAGGGCCAAGGCCAGATCTGAGTGTACTGATGGAGCCAGCAAGTGTCACTATTACTTTAGGGTGTGGTGTGTGGGGCTATGCAAAGAAGAAAAGCTAGAAGGAAATGACTTCAAAGAGGGAAAGACTTGTCCATCCTTATTTGCTGAGGGGAAAGCCTGTGGGCTAGAGGGAGACCCTGTGCTTGAGGGTGTAGGGGCCTACGGAGGGGGCTAATGGGATCAGAGCTCAGACTGGGACTCAGAGCTCAGACTGGGAGTGAAAGTTGACTTAGAGGAAGTGGTGGAAGGGAAAGGTAAGGAAATGTTTGCTTATTACCTTCATTGATGATACTGGCCGGTAGTTGTGCCTCAGATTTTGCTGAACTGTCCAACCCCAGGCCCTGTCTTTCCCTTTTAAATGTTGATGCCTTCTTTTCCCTTCAGAGACCCTTACCCAGCATGTGATTATTGCTGAGCCTACCCTTGGCTTTTCAGCGCTTTGACCCTCAGTGACTGTCTGCTTTTCTGCATGAGAGACAAGCACAGATGGTCAGGCTTGCCCTGGAAAAAAGAGCCTTGGTGAAGTGCTGTCTTTACTATCCATCAAGCTGTTGCAGGCCAAGAGAAAAGCCCCTTTTTGCCTAATCCCTTTTACCAATCTCTGTGGCACTCACAGGCATATTTCATAATACTGCCTTCCAACTCATTGTTTGAAGGTGACTTCTTATCAGATTTTGGGCTTGTATAAAGCCAGGGATGTGATGAACTATGGCAGATGCCCTTGAGGCCATGTGTGCTGTTTTCTGAACTCCGAGGGACCTGTGGAGGTTGGGTCAGTATGGTCTTGCTAAGTATCTTCTTTCATCTGGGCCCAGGGACCCTGTGGACTATCCTGACTTGGCTTGCTGGGCATGGGTTATCTGGGAGAGAAGGGATAAAAGGCCAGTATTTCTTCTCCCCTAGATTTGGTGGCTCACTCGGTATGGGATCTGCCACCAGGAGACAAGCACTCGGAGTCCAGAGGGAGCTTACTGCTTCCCCTTGCTCTCCTTCCTGAGTCAGGCTCCCCTGACTCATAACTTTTGACAACAAAAGATTATTCTACAATGAGAAAAGGACTATGTTGCAGGCCCAAGATGATGTTTATTACAGAAATCTGAGAACTGGGAAACAATCTCAGTGCTTAAACAGCAAGCATGTCTCATTATAATGCTGGCTTGAAAGCAGTGAAGACATTACATTGCCATGCCCTGCTTTTAGAAGTAGCTATAGATAGACAGAAGAACTTTGTTTTCTCCTGGGCTATTGGCGGCTTTTAATCCTAGGATGGTCTGATAGACCTCCAGGATGTTTCTCTGTTCTTGGGAATGTGCCAGGTTGTGCTTACTCACAGCCCAGTCTGTTGAGACCTTGGCCAAATCTAGGCATCCACTCCTTGATACAGAACAGAAGGCAGCTCCGGGCCCAAACAAGATGAAACTGCCCACCCTGGCCTCTGCACCCTGTGCTCCAGATAACTGTCATACCTGCCTCATAGATGGCATTTCCTCTTGGCAGATGGCAGTTTACTTAGCTGGTGTAAGGAATGCTGGGGATAATCCTCTTGCTTGTTTCCCTACACAGCAAAGCCCCTTTTCTCTGCCCAGTTCCTGACCTAGAATCCCAGCCCTACAGAATTTGTCCGCATGGTACTCATGCTGCAGACAGGACTTTGGGCAAGCTGTCTGTCAGAGACCCACATCCCAGCCTTCTCTCAGGCAGCCCTGGCCTGCACTTGTGACCCTGCTGTGCACTGCTTGAGTTAGCATTTTGCATTAGTCTGACTCTACAATTTTGTTTGCCCAAGAATGTACCAAACAAGAGTCCCAAGACCTTTATAGGTCTTCACTCAGCCTTTCTGGGCTCCTCACTGCAAGATCCACCACAACTGTCATTGTCTTCCACTCCTGGGAGTCTCAGGAGCTTTTTGCAGGATCTGAGTCCCATGTCAGCCACCTCCAGAATGTGCTGAGTTTTCTAGGATCCTGCTTGCTTCCCTACTGTGCCCCATTCTGGGCCTGGCCTCCTGGCCTCATCTTACTTAGTTTCACAGCCCCCAGTTACTTCCTGTGGCCGCATTACGCTGTGGGGTTCTGGCATCAGACTGGCCTCCCTGTCTCTCCCACAGCCTCCATAGTGACCTTTGCAAATGGGAATGAGAACACAGGTACCACCAGCATCCTTTTCCACAGGAGGCTTCCCTGGTTCTGTGACTGAGGAAGGTCCCTTGTAATGTTAAAGTTTCTAAACAGAAAGACTAAACAAGGTGCTGAAGTATTCTCCATTCCAATTCCTTTAGTTATATGCTATTACCACAACTAGGTCATACAGGGAGACCTTGAGGTTTTCAGTGTGAGAGAAGTTCATAAGAAAATGTAATTCTTTATATGACTGTCCAAGGAAGAACACTCAAAAGCTGGTTATCAGAGGTTGCCTCTTAGGGGGAGAACTAGAGCCCAGGAGGAAGGAGGAGGGAGAAGTTTTTACTGAGTACCATGCTGTACCAAAAATATGTGTTCCGCTAGACGGCACATAACAACAACAACAACAACAACAACCGATTCAAAAATTGTTTAAAAACACGTTAAAATACAAACATAAGTCTGAGAAACCTTTTCAGATAACTATCTAATGAATGAAGGAGCTCTGGTGGTGCAGTGCTTAAGGCATTTGACTATTAACCAAAAGGTTGGCGGTTCACACCCATCAGCCACTTCATGGAAGATAGATGAGGCAATCTACTTCTGTAAAGATTTACTGCCTTAGAAACCCAGTGGGGGTTACTGAGTCAGAATTGACTTGATAGCTGTGGATTTGTTTTTGTTTTTTTGGTTTGTCTAATAAATGAAATTTGTTCAAAGTTATATGTAGGGAAACTTGTGGCATGTGAGTACCCCTAACTCAGCTGCTAGGGCAGCTGCCTCAGAAGTCCGATTGCATGTGTCTTACTACACTTGATTCGTTCATTCATTTTTTTCAGCAAATCTTTATCTGATGCCTGCTCTAACCCAGCCCTGGAACATTAGGGAAGGCTTCCCAGAGGAGGTACTATTCAAGTTGTCCACACT